TCACATTCATTTGACAATTGATAGTTGAACTAAATTTATCCTCATCTTTGGTGGTTTAGCAATCCCTTTATCATCAAGAGGTGGCTAACTAACTTCACGTATGGGCCACGGGCCATCCTTTGGACTCGACACATTTTCTTGTAATGTTCTCTCTATAAGTGATAGTCGGATTGTTTGGCTTTCTAGTCTGATGTGTGGACAAACTCCTTTGCCGTATCATGGTGGTTGGTTAACTACAAGTGTTCTTCTAGGCTCTTGGGTTGTTGCAAACCAAAAACATAACTGAATTGTTCAATCCTCAGCTCTCGTGCCAAGGAGGTCTACGCTACCATAGGTTTCAGATCTTACATGTCCAACATGTCATTTTGGAACCAAGTGACATATGATTAAAGGTTTTCATTTGGCACTTACTTCACTTGCTACATGGTATGTGATGTCATGCAAAGTTTCTAGGTGCTAACAAATTGTGCCCTTAACTTCTTTATGAATTCAATAAAGGAGGTAATCACTGCTATTGGGAGGCCATTAACCCACTTGAGTTCCAAGTCCCTCAACATAGTGTAATACAATCGACACTTTAGTGTGTCGGATATTTTGAGAAGGCAGACGACCGATTAAAAGGAAGAAATTTGGTCGACTAGATCACTTCAACCCTTATATGATTCTAACAAAGTATGTTTGAACTTCTTCACCAGCTCAACATTAGAAATCTGTAAGGAGAATTCATTCTCCGATGGGTGGTGAACTTCAATATGCCCAAACCATTTTCTGATCAAAGTTGTAGGCCCGACATTATACTAGTATTGGAAGGCTTCAATCATTTCCGCCCACCCGAGTTGCTTGGCAGCCTTGAGGTTCGGGTTATTCTTCTCTACTCCTAGGGATCTTCCTATCTTTTTTGGAGTAATGTGCAAGTCTTTTCTGCCATCTGACCAACCATTTGGTTTATAAGTTGTTGGATTCACTATTCACAATTCTCGTTCACTCTATGTTTGATGTGTCTCCCATATGAGTTCTATCCTTGTGGCATGCTCCTCATTTTTTTTATAGCATGATCCATGCTCACCATTCCTTTTACGATGTTAAATCCAAATATCTCTTGTGAATTACATCCAAGATAAAGAGTGTAGGATGAATGAGAGAAACATGGAGAAAGAGTGAGAAAGAGAGTGAATGTGAAAAACCACAAAGTAATATAAGAGTTTTGATAAAGTAAACCAACAAACTACTATAGAAATGACCACTTATTTATAGCTTTCTAGGGTATCTAGTGTAAATTCCATGTTTGTCTCTATTTTAATAAAGACGTTATAAGATAGTATGACTCATTTTCATATTCATAACTTACTCCAACACCCTTTCATATTCACAATGAATCTTAAGACCATTTTGTATTCATAACCACTTGAAGAGGGACATATGATGACTCCGTAATCTTATACTTCATAATCTTATCACTTGTCAAGTATAATCCTTTGGTCGACTGACAAACATTTAGGAGGTCAAAGTGTCGTCGATCAACTCTCTCATGAGAGAATTTTGAGAAGAGCCTCGCATGTTGTTAGGATAAACTAGGTCGTTAGGTCGAGGTTGTACAACTTTCCTTGGACAATGAACCTTTTTAGAGGGTCACAGAGACATTCTATGGAGGTGGTTGTGTGTGTGTGTGTGTGGTTTTGAACAACTGTCCCTCAGATTGGGCTTCTATCTCTTCATTTGGTTGTGAATTCCTTCGATCAGCTCTGAGCTCCGATCGAAGAAAATGACGCTTGATATTTTCGGCTTTTGACTATCCTGATACACTGTCCTTTGGGAAGTTTTCTGAGGAATTCTAGAATATGCTGATGAATTTGGTTTTGACAACTGCCACTTAGATTGGGCTTCTATCTCTTCATTCAATTGTGTTTTCGTTTGGTCAGCTCAGATTTCTGATCTAAGAAAATAACGCTTGATATTTCCATCTTTTGACTATCCCGTAAACCGTCCTTCAGTGTTTGTCAGTCGGACCCATTGACTATTCCATCTTTTGGCTATCCCAATACATTTTTTAGGTATACTAGTCTATATTCTGTCTAGTAAATTGATAAATATCAAAATCATGTTTTCTATAGAAAAAAAAAATAACAACAAAAAGATTCACAATTTTGTGAACTAGGTGTAGAATTAAGCAAAATAATTTCTCTTTTTTTGAGTTCTCACATCTGACAATAACATATAAAATAACCATTAAAATTTCTAGTTTATATAAATCAGTGAAAAAGCAGAAAAATTGTGATGGTATCAAAATCAACACCGATGTGTTACTTAATATGACGCTAATACCGAATTAAAGACTTTCTAATTTACTTAAGATAAGTTTAAATACATAATTAATAGAACATAAAAAATGTGGACATTAAATGTAAACAACAAATATTTGGTAAATAATTCGATCTCGTTTATTGTTGATTTAGAATGCCTTTAAATCTCTTTCTTGCTCTTCAGTTAGAGAAATTATTGTATTAGGACATCACCTGATGCAAATTTGCATCAGATGTTCAATTAAAATTGGTCATATCAAAATGTGGACCCTATTGATTGGTTGTTTTTTAAAAGTATAGTACTCATCTTAACACATGACCAACTTTATTTATACACCTGATGCAAATTTAGATCAGGTGCCCTGATACAATAATTTTGAGGTGTCTATTTTATTAAGAGAGATATAGACTTAGAAGACCTAAAATTTTAATTAATTTATTTTATGTTATCGTGTAACTTCTTCCATTAAGCACTTACTAGCCAAATTTTTCAAATAAACGAAATATTTCAACCCAGTCTTTGGGTGAAATAAATTTGATTTTTTTTTTTTTCATTTACATGCATAACAGCCAATTCTTATTTATTAAGATATCTAACATTTAAATCGCATTTTATATTTATACCACTGAATTTTTTTATAACACATCAAAAACATTTATATTATAATTTTTAAAAATCGAAATATATACCTTCATGTATAAGTAAGATAGGATAAAAATAAAATTAAAGTTTGTGTTAGATTAGTAAATACATAAGTTAACAATAATAAATAACACCATGATAGTTTCTTTTATTCAAAGAAAATTTACTTTAACCACCCTCTAATCCATCTTTATTATCATAATTTTTTTTATAAAAATAAGAAATGAGGCTTAAAAATCTCTCTCTCTCTCTCTCTCTCTCTCTCTCTCTCCCTCCCTCCCTCTCCCTCTCTCCCAGTGAATCACACCTCATGGGCTAGAGCATAAGAAGTGAATCACACCACATGGGCTAGAGCATAAGAAATAAATAGAACGAGACAATGACAAAAGTACATAGTAATGAACAAACAGTAGAACTTGTCTATTTCATAAAATGATTACTTATTTATAGTAAAGGATATAAAATATGTGAATTTACAAGTTTGCTCATTTTTTAATGCAATGTTATATGATATTTTAGGTATTTTATATGTATAATTTTATGAGTTGACTACCTTTTGGGTCAATTGGCTGAGCTGAATGGACCTCAGTTTGGTATGACTTACTTGATCAACTAGTTGTCGGTTGGCCTTCAATTAACTTTAGAACGGTAGAACTGGCTCGATTGGCTAAACTTTGTCAATTGACTAATTTAGTTTGAGTGTTGACTTTTAATCTCAGGCGAGGAGCTTCTGTTGGCTGAGTGATGTTAGGTAATTAGCAGAGAGTGAATCTTTGTGACTTGATACGTAGCTCATTGCCTAAAATGGAGAGCCAAAAGGATGAATTAGACTTCTTGTAAAATTTTGATCCCTAATAAGGAACCATTGGGGTGTCCGTTAGATGATTGATGTTACTGAGGAGCTAAGTTTTTTCTCAAGTCTGCTCTACTAAATGGTTGATCTTCGGTTTCGAAATAATTTCTTATGGTGGTTGGCTTGTCTGTCTATCTGTTTTTTCTTGGTCTGATGGGTTCGGGCGTGGACCATTTGGGCTTTCTTTTGTCTTAATTGTTTTGGCTCGATGACTACATCCAATTGGTTTTGGTTCATACTATTACACCCGATTATTTAAGTGAGAATCATTGTATATTGCTGATGGGCTCTCTTTAATTGTATTTTTCTTTTTTCTTACTATCAAAAAATAATTGGATCTCCTCGAGATTCATGGTGGCGCATTCCCAATGTATGTGTATATATAACACTAGATATAGTAAATATTATATTATTTATTTATTAATGATTAGGTATTTTAATTAATATTAAATGACTCAAAAATTGTATGCTATTATTTATTTTTTCTCTTGGACTCTTGCTGCAGAGACTTCCAAATTCAAACTTTGACCAATTTCCACCTACTCACTTCTTTCTCTAGGAAGTGTGCTCTCAGGCGTTATGAAATTACGCCTACTCTCTCTCTCTCTCCCTCCCTTTCCTTTTTCTTCTCTTCCAACCTACCTTATGAGCCAATTTTTAAATTCGGATGAAAATGTTACTCTTATAATCCTTTAAAAGTAATAATACAGCTATATATATATATGAGAATTTAGCTATGCGATATGTAAATACATAAGAATTATGTGCTAAGTGTAAAAATTTCCCAAAAAAAGAGGGAATAATATGAATCTATTTGGCACACCCAATTTTTTTTATTTTATATATTTATAATATTTAAATCTTGAGATATTTACATACATACCACCGAATTCTTATACATATACATATCTAATATTTAAATTTTATTTAATTTTCATACAACACAAATTCTTCAAATCACATAAAAATTATCATCATTATAATTTTAAAAAATAAAATACATCTTTTTATACATATGAAAGTGGTATGTAATTAAAATTTGATGTTTAGATATGTGACATGCAAATACATCACAATTGAGGGGTACGTATGTAAATCTTTCATATACAAATATTAAAAATTTAATAGCAAATACATATGAATTATATGGCATGTATGCAAATCTTCTATAATAAATTATATAGATAAAAAAAAATTTTGCCGACCTTTCTGTCCCTCCCACCTCCCTACAATAGCAGGAAGCGGCTAGTCAAATGCAATAGCAGGAATCAGCTAGTGCTAGAAAGCTCGCTCTTTTCTCACCACCCCCTTCTTTCTCTCCTCCCACAACAAAGAAACAAAAATGATGAACGGCTACTCCAAGATCCGCCATGGCTCCATAGATCTAACATCCGAACCAAACCCTTCCTTCTTCCCAATCCTCACCGTCCCACAAAACTCCGACCTTTTCTTCTCCAAATCCGAGAATTCAAGCAGCCATGCCACAGATAATCTTCGCAGAAGCCGCTCCTCTGTTTCTCAGAGATTCAGCCATGAAGACCAAAGTCATGTCTTTGGTCTTCAGGCTGCGGTCCGAAGGGCTTTCTCCATGAGACGGACCTCCGCAATCGACAGCAGTTACTGGAGGATTCATGACGGCGGCAATGGGTTTTCGACAGAGGAGGCAGAGGAAGGGGAGAAGCAGAGGCTGGGGAGGAAGAAGGGTTGGAGAAGGAAAGGAGGGTTTTTTGGGCTATGTAAGAAATTTGTGGGGTTCTGAGGAGCTGATTGCATGAATCCAGGTGTTTTAAGTCTTATTGGTTTAAAATGGTTTCAGCTGTTTTGCTGAGTTATGGATCTAAACTCTGTAAAAAATCTATCTTTTTTTCTTATGCTGAAAGTGTTTTGCAGAGGTTGTGCGCTATTGTGAGCTCGAGTTAATAAAGCTTTGCTTCTGTTTTTTGCCCTTGCTTTAACAGTAAGAATCCTTTGTACTTTTGGGTTAAAATGGAGTTTTTTGAGTCTTTTTTTCTGTTTTTTTTTATTGTTTGGTTTTTTGTGAGATGGAAATAAAATGAGTGGATGTTATTGGATCCATTGTTGTCGGCAGGAAGATATTGAGTGAAATATATGCTCGAGGCTGAGATAGAAAATGTTTAGTTTTGGGAAGTAGAGGCTTAGTTGGGTTATTTTGAAGAATAAGAAAGGTCAAATGGAGCTAAATAATATGTGGAAAGAAATGCTTGTTTTTAAAAAAAATATTAGAGTGACTCAGTGAGTGTGAGAAGATTGAGGATGAGGCATAAGATGGTTTGGTCCTAATTGCATAATATAAATATATATATAGGGTAATATATATATATATTTTTATTTTAAAAGGGTTATTTACATACATGACACACAATTCCTATGTATCTACATTTCCAGCACCTAAATTTTACATTTTATATTGATACCGTGTAAAATTTTCACACGACATTAAAAAGATCGTGTGTTATTTGCATAAATACATAAGAATTGACTCGTATGTATGAAAATCTTCCTTTTTAAGATTGAACTTCACAAGAGGGTTAGCATCAATTTTAAATTGAGGATGAATAGCCGTGATGAATTATGTTACAAATTTGTTGTTGATTATTGAGTACTAACTCCATGAATTCATTGTATGAGTTCTTGATGTGTTTAAGGCAGAGTTAATTCTAGTTTATTTCTTTTCTATTGACATTTTGATTTTTTATTGTTGAAAAGTCCATATGTTTGGTGGCTTAAAGAAAAAAAAGACTTGTGAAGCTATTATTTTAAAAGTTGAACCTTAAAGAAAAGAAAAAAAGAAAAAAAGGTCTACGTTACATAGCACATAATTTTTTATTTACATATCAAACACATAAACTTTGATGTTTTACCTCTTTATCATTTTATATAAACTTGAAAATTAGTATTTCATTTCCTTTTGTGTTAGTAATAGTGATATTGTTGATGTGACATAATTGCTTCAAGTGCTATAATTATAAAAATAAAACTTTATGTGTTATACATGTAAATAAATAAAAATTATGGTTATATATATATAAATGCCCTTAAACAAATAATATTTGCTCTGTACACCAATAACTTAATAATTGAGGGTGAATAGCCTTAAGGAGTTATTTTGTAAAGAATTTGTAGTTGATTGTTTGATACTATTGCAAATAGTAGAATTCTATGGGATGAATTTGCCGCTTCAATACATTTGATGAATTCATGAGTTTCTCGGCTTTGTTGAGGTAGAGTTAATAATAATTCTTGATTGACTTGGTCATAATTTATCATTGATTACCACATTTTTTGGTGGCTGAATTTTAAATTATTAGCGGTCGTAATCAACGACTTATAAAGCTATTGTTTTCAAAGTTGAGCCTTGAAAAAAAAACAAAGTAGATTGACATAGATGTCACTATATATATATACATCTTTTTATATATATATATATATATATATATATATATATTAAATAAAAAAAAAAAAGAGTTACAAAAGAGCGGGGAGGCGGATCCCCGAAACTAAAAAGAAAAAACTACAGGAAACACACCCCTAGGGGTTCCCCCTCTCACATTACAACACCACACAATAAAACAAAGTACACATGTATATCCCAAAACACCAAAATTTAACCAAAAGAAAAAGTTCTCGTGTACCAAAAGCACCCCAGCAAAAGGAAAAGAGCAGAAAAAACTTGAAGCAAATGGAACTGCAATCAGGAGTGAAACCAGCATAATCTACCAAACTGCAAGCCTATAACCTCCAGACTGTAACCATCTAGTAGGGTGGGCTCCAAACCAAAACCCCATGCAGCATAAGTTTCGAAATAGCACATCTAACCCAAATAAAAACACAAAGGCAGAGAAAATAGGTAACCAGAAGAGAATTGTATGAGACGAATTCATAGGCCATAATTTCACCGTAAAATAATAGCAACAAACCGAAAGTTGAATGAGATCAGCTAGTTGTAAAATACAAGCATGATAAAATTTGGTATTTTTGTCTCCTTCACAAAATCTGGTAGTGGTTGTCTTCAATTTAAGCAAGATTTCTTGACAGGTGATGGCTTGCAAAAGGGCTTCATGAGCTGATATTAATTCAAATTTAGTGGCTAGACCATCCTCAAAGTCATTTTTCAATTTTTTTAGCATCATTTTTAGTTGTTTCTACCTTGAGATGGACATCACCAAAAATGTTCCAGTTCTAGTTGTTTAACTGAGTTGCAGAGCCCTTTGTAGTCCCCAAAGATTGTGCCAAGGGTTGTCAACCCCAGAGGGCTTCTAGACCTGTGACACCTTGATAAGCCAAAAAAATATTCAATTATATATATATATATATATAT